GCCAAACTGGCCAGGCCTATTGCATGTTTTTTGGTAGAGGTGAGACAGGATCCAATTGGTGCTTTAGAAAGATGACTTTGGCTGCTGGGTAAAGACTGGATGAGGAGAAGACAAGAGTAGAGGCAAAGAGACCAGTGAGGAAGCCTGTGATAAAAAATTCAAGAGAGAAAAAAATGGAGTCTGGAACTGAAAGCAATTAAAAAGGTGAAGAGTTAGTTATATGATCACCTTACCCAAAAGTCCCTACACATCATCAGGTGGTCCCAGAGTTTCACTGCCTTGACTTTTGAGTAAATATCATTGTTTAATCTTTTCCCTTGCATTTAGGATCTACAAATGACTTGTTTCCTCATCTATAAATAAAGATACCTACCTCAAAGAGGTTTGGTTTTGGTCTAGTGTAAAAAATGATAGTGCTTGATAATATTTACTACTTAACATAATAGATGCTTATGAATATAAAATTTTTATTTTTTACCCTAAATTGTTCCTTGACTTCATCTTCCCACAAACCTTTGATGAAGTACATCTGTGAATTTAGAATTTTAATTTATTAAACTGGTAGAATGTTATAGTCAGCGTAACTCCTTCAATGTCATTTGTCAATTACACATCATCCTGATTTTAACAAAAAAGAAGAGTTTAAAAATTGACAGTTTAGTTAATTACTTGTGCATTTCATGTTAATTTTTCTAGGAAAAGTCATACCTTTGATGTTGATATATTTTAAAAGTCCATTTAGGATTCCAGTGGGTGGGATAGAGAGCCCACAGGACAAGATGAAGATTCAGAGAGCAAAACCAAAGGATACAGAAGAATATTTCCAGGCCTTGAGACCGAAAGGTGGTGACCTGTCTGAATTTTGATATTGCTTTGGATGGTGATTCCATTTTACCTATCATTTTTTCCCTGTTCCAGCCAGAATATCTATAAACTATTGCCCTATGCCTGTCGTATCATTGTATGTGGGAAGTAAACTTACTTGTTTAGTTTCACAGGACCACAAATGGATAGGGAGTGTGCCCAAGGAGGGTATGTGATGGATTACACAAAGAGCTTTATCTGCACCTGATTTAGAAGACAGATGATAATATTTGGGACCTTTAAGTTGATGCTGTAGGAGGATAAGGACCTTGGGGTAGGGTAAATGTATTTTGCACTTGGGAAGGATGTGAATTTTGGGTGGAGGTGGGGGGAAAAGGATAAACTGTATTCTCCCAGATATGTCCACTTCCTAATCCTCAGAACCTGAGACTGTTTTGTTACATGGCAAAAGGGACTTTGCACATGTAATTAAGGTTACAAAACTTAAAATAGAGAGATTAACTTGGATTATCTGAATGGGCCCAGTCTAATCATACAAACCTTAAAAGCCAAGAAATTTCTCCAGTTGGAGGCAGATAATTATAGCACAAGAGAAAGTCAAAGAGATTCCAGGCCTGAGAAGGACTCAACAGTCCATTGCTGGCATTGAATATAGAGAGGACAGGGATCTCAGTCCTAGGATCACAAGGAACTGAATTCTCCCAGTTACCTGAATGAGTTGATTCTTTCCTCAGATCTCAGGCAGCTGATGGTTGACATTGGTTTTTTTGAGATCCTAAGCAGAGAATCCAGCTAAGACGTGTTATGTCCCAACTTCTGACTTTTGAAAATCATGACATAATAAATTTGATTTATTTTACCTGCTTAAAAAAGCAAAGCATGTAAAATAAGAAACTCTTTAACCACTTTTCCAACTAGATTGAATTCCTGGAGTAATCTCCAAGGGATCATGCAGCTTGTCACTATTTTTTCTTTCTTTCTGTTTTTGTTAGTGTTGAATACTGAGTTTATAATTTAGTTTTCTCCTTTCCTAGAAACCTATTCTGATATACAGAGAAGAAATCACCTATGATTTGGAAACTGTTTCTGAATGTCCAACCTAATTGATGAAAGCCAAAATTCAGCCGAGAGGCCACTTTTCATCACTTTTTTCTTCTTTCCAGATATCACTATTTGCTTAACTTTAGATAATTTCAGATGTTTTGGAATATTTGTAGGCTTATTTGCTTTTTTCTGATTACGCTTAATCTCTCTGCCTTTCTCTGTTCTTTTCTTTGTGTATTATTCTGCCCAGACTACTCTAAGAAAATACCACAGACTGGGTAGCTTAAACAACAGACAGTTTCACAGTTCAGGAGGTGGGAAAGTCCAAGATCAAAGAATTGCTGATTTGGTTCCTGGTAAGAGCCCTCTTCTTGTTTTGCAGACAGCTACCTTCTTGCTCTGTCTTGTTTATTTCTTTGTTGTAAAATTATTTTCTTTTTCTGTATACCATTTATCATTGCTACATCATTGCTGCTCCTTTGAATCAAAGCCTGGGTTTTTTATGTCATCCTGACAAGAAGACTCAAGATTTGTAATGAGAAGTACCTTCTACAACATTCCTAATATTTGAAATGCATTTTATTTACTTAAAATAATTTTCTTTATTGATTTTAAAGAGAGAGAAAGATAAAGGGAGAGAGATAGAGATATCTATGAGAGAGAACATCGATTGGCCGCCTCCTGCATGTCCCCCACTGGAGATTTTTGCCCACAACCTGGGCATGTGCCCTGACTGGGCATTGAAATGGTGACCTCTTGGTGCATGGGTTGACGCTCAACCACTGAGCCACACCAGTGGGGTTTGAAGTGCATTTTATTTATTTATTTATTTATTTATTTTTATCCTCACCCGAGGATATTTTTCCATTTTTTGTTCAGATAGAGCGGGAGGGAGAGAGAGAGAGAGAAACATAATGTGAAGGGACACATCGAGTGGCTGCCACCCACACGACCAACCAGGGCTGGGGACAAACTGCAACCGAGGTACGTGCCCTTAGCGGGAACCGAACCCGGGTCTCTCTGTACCGCAGGCCGACGCTCCAACCGCTGAGCCAAACTGGCCAGGGATGAAGTGCATTTTAAAAGTAACACTCTTATTGAATTTCATACTACATAAAGTAAAAAATAAGGTTTTGAATTTTTCCAGTGAAAAGTGTCAACACTTTCTCAGAACAGACATAATTCAAGTTTTATTTATCCCTATAACTTAATAGCATTATTAACATTTCCACACTTTATGAAGCACCTGGTCTAGTGCTTAGTATATAGTTTTTGAATAAAAAATAGGTTAATACTTTTGTTCTCTTTGAATAATAGATAAGAGATTTCTAGTCACCCCAGATGTTTCTCTACTTTTCCTTGACTAGTAGGTGAATATGTATCTAAAGAGTTTTTTTGTTTGTTTTTTATCCTTACCTGAGGACATTTTTCCATTTTTTGTTCAGATAGAGTGGGAGGGAGAGAGAGGGAGAGAGAGAGAGAAACATCGACGTGAAAGGGACATATTGAGTAGTTGCCACCCAACGACACTCCAGGCCCGGGGACAAACTGCAACCAAGATATGCGCCCTTAGTGGGAACTGAACCCGGGTCTCACTGGACCTCAGGCTGACTCTCCAACAGCTGAGCCAAACCGGCCAGGGCTAAAGATCAGTTTTAATGGGCTCATCAAATACTACTCTTAAAGTAGACCCTGTATTATGAATGAATGCAAGTGTAAAACATGCATAAGCAGTTAGCATTAATGGCACTGCCATATCATAACACTGCCAGAAACACTGCCGGAGTGGCTGCCCACGTCTTCCTTCAAAGCTTTGTACATAATTACTTACCACCACACTGCTTGAAAACAAAACTCCCCAAAGTGAGAATCATTTAACACAAAATTGCATTTAAATGACCTCTCCAAGGTCTTTTAAAACAGCAAACAACAATTAAACTACCTTAAGATAGAAGTTGGGGCTTGCCAAAATCGCAGACATCCTGCTGGTTCCCTTTCTAAACGCATTCATTTTCACTATCTCTTATCTGGACAAGGCAGCTGAGAAAGGGATTTCTGGCTGCTGGTCCTACAAACACGATGTGGCATAAATAAACCCAACTGCTGCAAGAAAATGAGATGAATGGACTTTTTCCTCCTTCAGAAAGCTGACTTATGTATTCCCAAGGAAAGAGAAATAAATTGTTTCCTAACTTCTTAAAAAAAAAAAATAATAGTGCTACTCTAGCGTTGCATGTTCACGTTTAGGCTTGACATATTATGAAATTTAAACTCAACTGGCAAAAACTTAGAAAACACTCCTCGGACAGCACATAAGGGTTTAGCAGATATTTATTTATCATCTACGTTGAACTAAATAGAAATTGTACATAATGCTACAGACAAATTATGCCGTGCATAGTGTAGATTCATGTGACAGTCAATGAGATACACTGTCAGTGGTCTTTGCAGCTTGCCACCAGTTGATAATGTCTCATGGCTTATAACTAGAGAAAAGAAATAATATGGCACATGCTGTTATGGACCCAGGCAAGCACATACAGACAAGAATACCCCAGTATAGTACTCTAGCTTATAACTAAGCCATTTAAACGAACAGAACACATTCAATTTATAATGAAAGCCAAAATATAATACTATCTTCCCAGAAAAATAAAATAAACATGCCAGGTTAAATAACACACTACAATCAGAGAGTGTTTGCCGAAATCTATTATTTATATCCGATTTTAATGCAGCAGTGTTGTCCTTAAAGATGAGCACTGCTTTTGAAAAAGTAAATCGATGTTATGTGCCACTGTCAGGAAAAGAACGTCGACTTCCTGCTGTCGTCAGAACAGCAGCTCCCTTCGGCTCTCAGAAATTTACACAATGCTCAGCAGTTTTCTCCATCGGGCTAAAGAGAAGTCATTTTTAAGGACAGCAGCTGCTGGGTTTGTTTCATGCTTAACACCAACACTCAAAAGGATTTATGGTATTTTACAAATTTTACAAATGTTCATAATTACTATGAAGATTTACAAAACCCTACACCCTATATAGCAAATATTAAGCACAATAAAAACATCACAAATACTTAACTAATTTTGGGAAGGAAAAAACTCTCAAATATATATGGAATAGCCACTTACCAAATAGGCAAAGCCATTTCTGTTCTCCTTTTTCTAGAGCTCTCTTTAGTGTTTATTTCTATTTTTAATCCATATTTCCCCAACTTGATAGCTTTGTGCTGAAATATTCAGTAATAAACACAAAAGAATATTTAGCAATGTAGGATGTTAGGCATGGAAGAGGTCGCAAATCATGCTGTAAAACACCTTCAAGGCGCAATCCTCCTTGCTAACACACTGCTCTCTAGCCCAATGGGAGATTCAGCACAGAAAGAGGAGGTGCTCATGGTGATGTCAAGGCTCATCCATCCACAGGTCCTCTCTCTTAACGGAGAATAACATAGGACAGGTCTGAAGAAGCAGGAGATTGGCAGGGCATAGAAGTGCCCCTCGGAGACTAGGGTTGGTGGCTATAACTTTTTTCAGCTGTCTGCCCAGAGGGCATCTTTCTCCTTTACTGAGTTTATGTCTGGGGAAAAGGTGGTGGGGTCAAGGCAAAATCTTAATTCTTCCCAGCATTGCAGGTGGTTAGGCATGTGCCCTTCCCAAGTTCAGTTGTGATTTTGCAAGCCTGGGCATTTCTCAAATGAGATTCTGAATTTGAATTTTAACCCCAGAAAGAACAGACGACTAGGAATATGTTTTTGTAGTACATTTCAGATTCTCAAGGACAGAGCAACATAGGTTGTTGGTTGGTTTGTCTTTTGAGAGGGCAATGGATTTTTCTAAAAGTACATCATGATGTGTTTGTGTGTGTGTGCATGCACACACACACCTGCATGTATGGGGCAGATAAGGGAGAGGGAGTGCGGAGAGAGAACTGAAGAAATGAAAAAAAAAAAAAAGCATATGTATGTATATACATAGATATGAAATTTAGTGTTCTCACTAAATTGTGTCTTGAGTCTTCAGAAGCTTTTTTGGGTTGTATTTATTTTTCCAGAATCAAGTTTAGCATTTTACGTAAAATATTTCTTTTCTTTTTCTGGTTAATAGTCACCTCATTTTAGTTGGACAGCATATAGGTTCATTCAATTCTTAAGACGTGTCATTAAAAATAGTTATTTTCCTCAGTTTTAGTTCTCCAATTGCCAAATATTTTAGTTCATAAGTGGCATTTTGGTTATCATTACTATTAACTGTTTGTATGTGTTGAGATTAAAATGCTAACTACTTATGCCATATTTACCTTACTATTTTAAAGAATCCAAATACAGGAGAAAATCCTGCTTTCCCTTCTCTTGTGTTAATGGAAGAATATTCTCAATGAAATGTGATTTATTGACTTATCTGTTCCTTTTGAGTGTTTAGACATAAGCGTTGCTAAGAGTCTTGTAATCTATGGTTATAGTTCCATTTTTCTGCATCGGGCAGCTTTACTGAAATACATCTTTTTTATGTAACTTTCAATACATTCTGTTTCCAGTTAAAATTGGTAGGCAGCAATGACCTCTAGTGGAATCTTAAGTAAATAGCAACTGGGTTTTTCAGAGAATGTTCATTTTCAATATATTTTTATTCTTTAGACCTTTTGTAGCTGGGCAGCCTACTGAATGAACTTTTTAAACTTTCTGAAAACATGTATGTATTTTTTAATTTTAGAATAAAATAGAAAGCATGACAAGTTATCAACATTTTAATTTTCTTATTTATATAGCTTCTAAGCTGATTTTGAAAACTAAAATGAATTATTTAAAATTAACATTTAAATATTCATACTTGTTTTTATGTATAATTAACTTGCTTTTAATTTTTATTTAAGTGAAAATTTTCAAAAAATTATATTTTAGAAAGGTAATTGCTGAATAAAATAGAAGAAAACTTCAGGAAATAAACATATCAAAAAATAAAATCTCTTCATACTATCCATAAGAGAAAGTAGAAGTGCTCTGAACATCTTGGTAGTTAAATGAACTCATGAAATAACTTCCCATTTGTTAATAAAAAATAGAGGAAAATTTGATATCTGAGAGCAAAATGCTTTAATATTTTTTCAGAAATAAAACTTTATGTTTCTGGAATATATTTTATACTTCAGGGAAGATTATTCAGAAGGCATAAAATTCAGGTTTTTACAGGATTTCAGTGCCATACTATAATCATTTTTGGCTTGTGAGGTAATAGGTTATTCATCTACATCTTAAAGCATGACCAGAATTAGCACATTATTATTTTAGTTAGTTTTTTTTTTTCCCCCGAAAATGGAGTAGATGTACTTACTGCTGAAAAACTGCTTTCAAATCTTTACTAGACAAACGGTAGAGTGAAAGAAAGAGAATATACTTTTGCTACCAGAAGAGGGCAGTAAAGTGTTCAACAGAGTTCTAACTGCTCGTCCGCTCTGACATTCTTTCGTGTGGCTTTTTCTTCACTCCTGGTTGTGAATGTTTCATGAAGGGCACAATTTTCAAGGTGACCATAATTTTTCTTTCATGGTTTATAATAGTTACAACACACCTGCTTCATCAAACTCATGGCTTTGACAATACGAATATATAATCATTTTTTTAAAGTACCGATAGTTATCATGAGAATGTTAATGTAGCAGATACTGTGTATATTTTACACAGTGGTGGAAAGGCAACATTCAGATAGATGAAAACCTTTATTTTTATTTATTCCATGATTATTAAAATCTCAAAAATTTCATCAATATTCCCGTTATCTTAAGTCTTCCAAGGGTAAAATAATAATTGCCGTGGAAAAGGGTCAAGTACTCAAAACTACAGCTATTGCCACTATTTGATAAATATAACATGAAACTATTCAACCATACACTTATTTAAAAAAATTAGTTAATTTTATGTGATGTTTAACCAGTCAAATGAGTATGTAGAATAATTTATCATAACACCTTTACAGTCATTTCTGTATTACAGAAATCTCTTTTAAGTAATGAATGCAAAGAAGTTGGATGATTTCTCATTCTTATTTTTTTTTAAGTTCCAAATATAAATTCAGAAGCGAGCTGGCGGTTTCACCCCTCAGGAGTCCAGCGTGTGCCTGGGCAGGCGGTAGTGCTCTGCTCTGGGGCGGAGCTTCTTCTCCTGTGGGTTGGCGTACTTCCATTTGGAAGGGGACATTTTATGCTTTTTCCTCTTCTTATCTGTGCACCAAACCTTTTCACAGTATTCTTCCACTCTCTGGAAGTTGCTATAACCAATCAGCTGCAAGAATTCCTTGTACCATGGTTTTGTCCCGTGCGGGATACTGCTCTGGGCTGGACAAGGCATCTTGTGAGGTCTGTCCTCTTCATAGTCTTTGTTAAACATTTCCTCCACTCTCTCCTCTTCTACTACCTCCAGGGTGATTTTGCGGACAGTGTGGACAAAACTATGCTCTACTGTCTGGCAAAAATAGGTACCAGCATCCGCTTTGTGTACCCGTAGGAAGAGTAAACCGAGGTCCATCTTAACCACTCTGTCATCTGTTTTTACCTGCAATAACAAAAAAATTTAATGACACTGGACTTATCCAAAAAAATATTACACCAACTTATAATCTATCTATCTTTACTTTTTTTCATTTTCATTATCACATGATGAAATAATAAAAGTCATATATATATATACATATATATATGTATATATATATATGAGAGAGAGGAGGGGGTCTAAGTAATTAAATCAGCTCTCCCTCTGTGTCTCTCTGTCCTGAACTTATTTGCATTAGAGGTCACTTCATAACAATGATTCAGGTCATTTTACATCAATAATTTTTAAGAGCAAAGTGAGAGAGCGTTCTCTATAGTGACTTCAATTAATCATTAGAAAACAAAATTCATTTCTATATAGCACTCAAAGTTAAAGTGAAAAGACAATTTGTAAAATGTATTTAATTTATTTTTTAAAGGAAAGAACAAATTTCATTTATTAAAGTATTAGTTCAGGGTTTCTTATGGCTTCCAGATCATAATAACCAATGTTTTTACAAGGATCTCTGTTTAGAGAGCTGAGCTACCCTCACCCTTTCTCCTAACAACAAAAGCCATCTGTTAATTAATTCAGTGAACATTCTTTAATTTCTACAAGGGTATCCATTTTATAGAGGTTAAAAAATTAACAAGTAAAATACAGATTCAGCTTTGAAGGACCTCACTGTCTAGTAAACATTAAGTTTTCATATACCTTTGATGCTCAAATATGTATTTTTTAAAAATATGTTTTATGGATTTTTTGAGAGAGAGAGGAAGGGAGAGAGAGATAGAAACCCTGATGTGAGGGAGGTACATTGATCGGCTGCCTCCTGCATGGCCCCCATCAGGGACTGAGCTCACTACACAATCATGTGCCTTGACCAGGAATCGAACCAGGACCTCTCAGTCCATGGGACGATGCTCAATCCACTGAGCCACACCAGCCGGGCAAATGTGTCTTTTTTATGTTTGTAATATAATCAACTGTGCACATTATTTCCATAAATAAATAATTACTATTTAGGGTAAGAAGACCACAGTAAGGCTTACAATTAATAGCTCATATTTTATCACCAATAGTTGTACTAATGAGTATATGATTTGACATTAGACAAAACTCGGTTCAAATACTGCCACCACTGTCTACTAATTGTGTGATCTAGGGCATTATGTATACTTTTTGCCTTAATTTTCTTTGTAAAAATTGAGATAATAATCCTAATGTAACTTGAAGAATTCCATGAAGTTTAAATAAAATAACATAGGTGAGAATACTTTGCATAGTGCTATCAATATTCACCTCTCTACCTTTCCTTATATACATTCCTTGAGCTAAAAACAAACAGTTGCCCTGGCCAGTTTTGCTCAGTGGTTAGAACTTCGGCCTGCGGACCAGAGTTTTGGGTTTGATTCCGGTCAAGGGCACGTACCTCGGTTGCGCTTCAATCCCTGGCCCTGTTCAGGGTCATGCAGGAGGCATCCAATGTGTCTCTTCCATATCAATGTTTCTCTCTCTCTCTCTCTCTCTCTCTCTCTCTCTCTCTCTCTCCCCCCCTCCCCCCTCTATCTGAATATCAATGGAAAAAAATATCCTCAGGTGAGGATTAAAAAACAAACAAACAAAAAATCAAACTGTTATGTGTTTTCATGTGGCCCAGGATCATATGATGATGGTATAGTTAATTTACACTATACTGTCTGACTTACCCTTCGAGAATACAAAACAAAAGCAACATTCACCTTGGCCAATATAAAAGGGACAGAGCACCAACCACCACCACCACACTGGCAGTGAAGGCCACTCCAACAGGCGTGTTTTTGTACCAGTGGTAGGTCCTGGCACTGGCCACCTGGCTCAGATCTCCTGACCTTGGTCAGTTTGGGAGTGTCCAAAGTTGCAATGTGATTACTCATGTGTGGTCATTTACAAAATTGGTGGTAATGAGGCAAAATGGCATTGGTGGTAAGAGATGGTACCTCCAATTGGACTGTTAGTGATAAAGTATAAGGCTCCTTGAAGTGTTTGTCAGCTATGTAATGTAATTAATCGCTCAGAAGCTTCAGAGTGACATAACTGGATGACAAAGGGGTCCGATATATCTTCACAGGCGCTTCCCTTGACTTGGAAGGACCATGCCCTGGCAGACAGAATGCTTTGCTCATTAACTCAAGTTCTCCAGTGAGGAACCGGGAAGAGCCCTCAAACCAAAACCATCCACTATATGGAACAATCTATTTATGCATAGGTTTTGCTGAGAACGCAGCCTTAGCACCTGCCTCAGCCAATAACTCTTAAAGGGCTTTGTGTGGCTCTTGCTCATTCTCTTTATTATTTATTTATTTATTTTTAAGATTTATCTTTGTTGTTG